TCTTGCAGGCATGCCTGTTGCCAACCCCACACAAGTATGAGCTGCAGATCGATGAGGGACCTGCCCAGCAGTACCGCCGCTTTGCAGAGTACCTCCATTGCACTGTTTTCCCAGAGTTTGTGAGTGCTCCTTCCCTGTATATCTCCTTCAGGGTCACAGCCAAGCATTGCTCTCACACTTTCTGCCAAGGTACAGCAGGGGCTGGTTCCAGGGTAGGGCAATCAAGAGCTGAGGGGGACCCCCGAGCAGGCAGTGTCCTCACCAACAGGCACAGTCCCCTGGGGCCTGAGCGGGCAGGTAACAGGGTCCATCAGCATTCCCAGACACATGAAGCGAAGAACCAGCTCCAGGTTCCATCCAGGAAACAAAAGAAGATAGGGCCAGAGACATGGCTACAACACAGCTCTAAAGTCCATCCAGGGCTGGAGGCAAGCTGCGATGTCCATCGAGGAGCTGAGCTACCTACAGCAGAGGCTCACCCAGGAGACAGAGGCAGAAACCAGCTCACCCACAGCCCCACAGCAATGCTCAAGTAGCAGCTGAAGGCCTTTAAATGGGCTGTGGGCAGGGGTTTGGGTGGAGGCCCCAGGTAAGGCTGGTCTGGGCCATTAAAGACTATTTGTGCCTTCAGGGCCCTGACATGCTCAATGCCAGCCATGCAGGCAAGGCTGCAGTGGAGCACAGGATGGTGGGAAACGAGGTGTACTGTTTATTTGACTCACACAAGGTGTTTGCCACCAAACCTCAGGCCAACCTACCCATGCCTTGTGGGCATCCATACTTGTCTCTGGGGGCCCAAGAGCCCCCCATCTGTCTCCTTCCACCACCCCTGCTTGGTTCCCCAGGACTCCCTCTTGGGTAGTGGCTGCCACCGTGAATGCAGTCAGGGAGGTTTTCTGAGCAGTGAAGAGTGTGACAGGGCAGCCTGAACCCCACACCTGGATGCTGGCATCCCCAGGGAGTGCCAACATGGGGAGGAAGGGTAGCTATGAGGGATAACTGCACAGACTCTGGGCTGAGGGTCTCTGTCAAACCAGGACACTATGGCCTGCATGGGACGGTCACTGCAGCACCCGCCTTGGCCCACGGGACCTTGCGCATGAGGGTCCTACCCGATCATTTGCATGGGGCACAAGTTTTGAATCCTGGCATGCATGACTGCTCTCTGCCGAGGGTTTGCTTTGGTTGGCATCCTATGTGCCTTCAGGGAAGGGTGCCTCAGATGCTCCCCACTCCACACAAGCCCTTCAACAGGTCCACGAGCCTTTTCTCCCATGTAGGACAGTGCCCCATGCAGACAGCTGCATGGGGCACTGTGAGCCCCCCTGTCTGGGGGGCTCACG